TTTTGTAGACTCCGGCTTTCCCTAAGACATTTATTGAATCCTTAGTTGATCCTAACAGTGACTTCAGCTGATTTATCCTACTGCTGAATACTAAATCGAGGCCAAAACTTCTAAACTTTGAAATCAATGGTTTGGTAATGTTTTTGTCGAAATTCACCGCTACCCGTTTTAAACTCTCAGTTACTGGTGTAAGAGTTGTCGAAATACGCCTAAAATGATCCCTTGTTCTTTTATCGATTACTGCTTGAATTGTTTTTTCTTGATACCCATTAAGTCTAGCGATTTCAAAAATGTGAGCTATTTCCTTTGATTTGCCTGTATCGCTAAGAGGAAGAGTTTGCATCCTGTGAACCATGTGGTGAAAAGCGGCCATTTTGTGTTGATGGGAATGGTTTGAAGTGCTTGGTATTACTCTCTTTGTGTTTGTTGGTTTCCTATAGATTTCGACATTGAACGAAGACGTTTCCCTGATGATGAGAAGATCTAAGAAGGGGAGTTTGCCGTCTCTCTCTTCTTCGTGAGTAAATGTGATGTCCTTGTGAACGTTGCTTATGGCCTCCAAAGTTTTTGATAAATCTTCCCTTTTGACAATGCTAAAGATGTCATCCACGTACCTATACCAACATTTGGGCAACAAATTCCTATCCTCCAGAGTATTTTCTAGGTTAGCCATGAACAATTCACATAAAAATGGAGAAAGCGGATTGCCCATAGGAGCGCCTTTAGTTTGTTTGTAGAAATTTCCTCTGAAAATGAAATAATTTTCCTCCATACAAAGACGAGTAAGCTTGAGATATGACCGAACTTTGTTTTTCCAAGTAGAATCCTCACGTTGCTTCAGAAGCCAGTCCTCTAAAAGGCTGATGGCTTCCTTTACTGGTACACTCGGAAAAAGTGCTGTGACATCAAATGAAACCATGACTTCATCTTCCCGAATCTCTCCTGATGCCTGAAGCTGACTTGCGAATTCCTGTGTGCTGTTAACTGAGCGAGTGGAAAAGGGTTTAGGCATATTTTGAAATTCCTTCACTAGCCATTTGGCAAGCTTATGAGTGGGGGATCCTTCGGCCGAGATAATCTCCCTCATTTCGTTTCCTGGTTTGTGAATCTTTGGTAAACCTTTGATCCTAGGTAGAATAGGGTTTGAAACTTTCAATTGATTCGTACTGTTGCCAATAAACGCCTTGCACTCTTTCAACGTTTTATCCACATGTTAAATGGGAGCGGGTCAATCCTCAACTGTCTGTATGGGCCATTAGTAATTTTTTTCCGTCATCCGATTGTCATAGTCCTCTTTGTCCAAAATCACTACTGCATTACCTTTGTCCGCTTTTGTGTAGAATACCGGCTTTGTTTTTAGTTCTTTGAGAATTCGAATTTCCTCTTTTTCGGGTTTATTAAGTGAATGTCCCTTTCCGTTTTGTATTGTCTCTGAAATAATATTCCTGGCAGTCTCGTGTAATTGAATAGGAAGTGTGTGAGTGGAAAATTCCGAAATTAAAATCAACGGCGACTCCATAAAGATGAAACTGCTGCAAGAAGTGAAAATTTCGTCGGTCAGAATAACGGCAGCCAAACGAAGCAAGTTTCGAAAGAAAGCGAAGTGTAGGAAGTGTCGCAACTACGGACACTGTCTGCGTTCGAATCCGATGATTCCAGTGATGCTGACTTGTACTTCGATTCAGACTCTACAACACACATGACCCGAAACAAGGATCTGTTGCTAAATGTGAAGTCATCCAGTGGTACGATTGTAGCCGCGACCAAGGCTTCCATGAGGATTGCGGCTACAGGAATCACCTTACTCAAGCCAGTCTGTCGAGAAGAAGAAGAAGTGCCTGTGAACGACGTGCAGTACATTCCGCAGCTGTCCGTGAATCCTCTCTCCGTCTACAAAATCGTGAGAAAGGCAAGGAGTAGGTCACTCCGCACACCAATCTTGGGTCATCTTTTCTGTCAGTGTGCCACAAGTGTGCCGCAGGTGTGTTGATTGTGCCGGTCACAGAGCAAGCTGCGATTGTTGATGACGCGGGAAGTGACGGGTGTGCGAAATTTTGGTGTTTTGTGTTAGTAAAAGTCCTGTGTTTTAGGGCTTTATAATGCCCTCAAAGGCAGACCAGAAACCTAGCCTTTCGTGATATGAAAGCAACGGTCATCAGCGGCCGGAAAGAGTTGGAACCGGTGGGGAACATTGTTGGAGACCGACTATAGAGGATGATTAATATCCTCCTTAGTTTGGTTTGTGTGAGTTGCAGCATGAATTAAGGGTACTAATGGGTCTGAATAACTGCCTCTTTCTCTTGAGCCCACTCTAGAACCTACAGATCTATAAGTGAACTGCTGGTCTGAGTGCCTCTGGTATATTCAATTGAAGGTTCAATTCAGGATGTTCCTAAATATACAGCCAAACAGCACGTAATGTTGTGAACAACTTCAATGACAGTTGTCCAACAGTGCTCCCATTTTATTTACAACAATCCAATGCCTACGAGATTCTGCCGAAAGTGTGCCGATGGATGTGCCCAAGCTGTGACGAAACTAATTTCGGCACAATGTGCTGCGTGACTTACCCCTTGGAGAAAGGCCAAACGATGGTGTTCAACAAAGCTGGCTGCAAAGTAATCAGCTCTAGCGGCGGCGTGGTGGCAACTGGGTGTCACGAGAACGAGCTTCTCAAGCTGGAACAGAGTGATCAAAGGGCAAAACGTTGGTTTGCTCCTCGGATGATTCCATGATCGTCGAATGGAACATCTCAGCAAGGTGGGGCACCGGCAGTGTACCTCATCAATCGTTCGTCGACTCGCGACCATGATATGACACCGGAAGAGTGCAGGAGCGGTAAGAAGCTAGATCTATCACACGTACGGATCATTGGGACCAAAGTGATCGTTCATGTCCCTCAACAGAAGCGGCGTAAGTGGGATGCCGTTTCGTTGGATTCGATGAGGATACGAAAGGCTACTTCGACCCAGGAACGAAGAAGATTTTCAGGAGTCGTATTGTTACATTCATCAACGAGAAAGACTTTGGTACCCCGGCACCCGCGGTCAACAGCAGCAAACCAAAGTTCATCAGAAGAGGTATCATTATCACCGAGTTCCGAAAAAGCTACCGACGAACATTCGACTTCCGTTAATGATGCGACTGGTCGGGTCCAGTTAAAGTCGAGTAATGCGACTGGGATGATGAAGACTTTGAAGCAGCTGAACGCAACATAAGTAGTTCTACTGATACCCCAATGTGTGCAGTGTCGGGAGCACAAACTTCCAGGCAAATGTAGAGATTTTGCTACTTCGAGCAAAGGAACAGGGCGTTCTCCATCATCGCAGATTTCTACACCCGAAGGCTACATTCCGTCCAATCCCGTCAAGTCGAGCAGCGAAGCAAATGGTCCATCCCTGGGACCTGAGAGGCCGAGTCAATTAACGGGTGTAGTTTCCCAGCAGCAGAATGACCAGCGACTCACAATCCACGATGACCCAGTTACCCATCAAGAAGCAATGTCTCGTGGAGTACGATGCTTTGATAACGGAACGTGGACCCTGGCGGAACTTCCTAAGAATAAGAAGGCGATCCGTTGCAGGTGAGTGTTCAAGACCAAGCTGGATGCCGAAGGAAACTTGATCGACATAAGGCACGTCTTGTCATCAAGGGGTTCTCGCAGAAGGGGGTGGATTATGACGAGACGTACTCCCCGGTTGTTCATAGATCGTTGCGAAGCACAATTTGGATATGCAACAGTTGGATGCTGTTATGGCTTTCCTCCAAGAAATCTACATGGAACAACCTTCGCTTTTTGTAGATCGACGGAATCCATCCATGGTGTGCCGTCTAAACAAGGCACTGTATGGGCTGAAACAATCCAGTCGCTTCTGGAACAAGAAACTGGACCAGATGTTGAAGGGTTTCGGGCTGACCCAAGCGAAGTACGATTCCTTTGTGTGCTATCGCATCCAAGGTGGTAGCATGATATTCGTTGCAGTTTATGTGGATGATGTCAATGAACTGCCTCGAAATTCGAATCACCCGCACCGAAGAATCGATAGCGCTTGACCAGAAAGCCTATGTGGATGCGATGCTGGAAAAATTCAGCATGACGAACTGTAAACCAGCGAAGGTACCGATGACAGACAAGCTGACGAAGGACATGTCACCGAAGAGCGATGATAATGCGAAGCAGATAGCCAACATTCCTACCTCGCCCAATGTACTCGACCGGACATCCTTTCACCGTGAACCAGCCAAGCCGATACAACTCCAATCCTGGAATGCAGCATTGGACCGCTGTTAAGACCCTGCGGCCCTAACCCTGAAACTATGTTTGACAACTATTTGGTCACTATTTTCTTGGGCACTAACCGCTTCCAGTCCTGAATGACGAATCTTCGGAGCTGACGCGTTCCCTTGACTAGAATTCATCGGAGTCCTTCCGAGATATTCCGGAATTCTAGACGGAAAATCCCAATGAGGATAATACAGAGAATCGTAGAATGGATTCAATGAATCTCTAATCAGATCCAGCCTGACCGCGTATCGATTTTACGGCCGGCAATATCAGTATCGTTTGTTTCGTTGCTCCCAGGACATTGGATAACATTTCCAGGCGATACTGTATTGATCCTTCTCGTCGATAAAATAGTCTGTTCCTCCACGTTGGACCATTTCTTTTAACCAGAAAAAAAATAACAAAATCAGTAGAAGTCACACGGAACTCGGTCCGTTGCTGTCAAAGTTAGTAGCAGTCTCAAGTCACTACGAATTGTTCCGCATTTTGGGACCCTTATCTGCTTTGATGACCGCAACAACCTTTAAAATTTCAATTTCACATAGATTTTCCTTTTGAATTCTGCTGCTGTTCGCTTTCAATATTTCAAGAAAAATTCTATTAGATTTCTCATAAGCATTGTTCTAGAACTATTGCAATAAGTTCTATTTCTATTCCGATTTTTCAAACTCTGCTTTAAAACATAATTCTGCATAACACCCCCCGCGATACTCACTCTTATCGTGCTCGATCTTGTGGAATGCCCAATGCTCCAGAATACGCGACTCGGGAAACTTCAGGTGCTTCGCAATCTGAATCGCCAACGCATAATGCTTGCGGAAAATCAACCGATCCAAAATGACCAACGGCTGCAGATGATTGAATCTGCAAAAAAAATGGTTCACTCTCATCAATCCAGAACTCCTAACCCACCCCCACCCTCCGCACTTACTGCCTCAGCGTCAGCGGCATCCCGATGATCGGTTCACGCAGGGCATTCAACACCCTCAGCACCCGGCACATTTCAATATAGCCCTCCGGATTGTACCCCGAAAGGAAGCCCTTCCCGAAGTGCGCCGCCCGGATCAGATTCTTCTGCGTGTGCGAATCGTACTCCTGGCCGGCTGCTTCCACACACTCCCCGACCGCTGCCGCCAGGTCAGCTAGGCTTTTAATCAAGCACAGATACTCATCCGACTGGTGACTACGTTCCTGGAACTTTCTGTGTGCTTCGAACAGGAAACTCGCCGGCTCCGAGATGGAAATCCCGAAAATGTTACTCGTGCATTTCGGCACCCGCTGGATCAGTTCATGGTAGCCGTTGGTCAGGACTCGAACGGCGTCCATATCCGGAATCAGCACCATAGGCGAATCGTACGTGTAGATGTTGGAATCGCCCGTCATCCCGACGACGAGAACCATCGACGCGTAGCTAACGATAACTGCCTGACGATCCGGATGGGGATCTTCATCGCAGCACCAGGCAATCTGATGCGGCCGCTCTGTACGACCGGTGGCAAACTCACAATACTTGGTACGTAGATCGGCCGATCCCAGCCACATGGCACCAGCGTTGGTATAGATCGCCAAATGCCGATGGTTGAACGAAACAGCCATGGCCATGATACTGGTATATTCGCTCTTCATAGTCAAAGTATGGGTAACAGGGGCACTATCGCCGTGTCGTGCCAGGATTACGTCCGTTCCGCGAGCGAGCAGGCAGCAGGTATTGCGTTCCATGGAAACCAATTCCCAGCAGGTGAGGTCGCTATTTGTAATCAAAATTTTAAATTAATCAATAACCTCACCACATCGAACTCAAAGCACCCGAACCTGGAAAGGGTCAGCAATTCCGACAGCGGACGCAACTTTGGATCCATAACACTGTTTACGATGTAGATTTTGTGGCTGGCCGTCAGCACCGCAATTCCCGTCCCCGAACTGGAAGCGAAAATCTTCGCATCAAACACCTCCGTCACATCATTCCCCATGCTGAACTTGTGCTGAAAGTTCCCAAACATATCGTATCGCCACACGGAGCCATCGCTCTGAACACAGAGGAATTCCTCGGAATCGGACCAACCCATGCAAATCAGTTTTCCGCTGTTGCCATTATCCCACTGTGTGAGCAATTATTGAAATTAAATTAAGCAAACAAAACACCAATAGAAAAACTTACGTTAATCGTTGAGGTCAACTTCCCGAAGCAGTTGAAAATCCGAATGACCGGTTTGGCAGATTCGCCGCCCGACACCTTCAGGAACTGCTTGGAATCTCTAACCAATGCAATTGGACCTCCATACGGAGCGGCGTGAACGGCCATATTTTCCAAATTGATGTTGGCCGGCCAGTCCATGGTGTAGAGGTCGATTTTCCTGAAACGGATCGCCAAAATTTATCCGGATGACTCACTGGTTGTTAGCATGTTGGAATGTTTTTCTTTTACCTGTAGGAGTTTCCATGGCCCAGCGTGAACCAATCGCCGGTATTGCACAGCAAGGACATTGCAAGTCCCTTTTCTGGTTGGGTTTATTCGACAGAAATTGGACGACTTTCCCGGGAAAATACGAAAACTCGGGAAATTTTGAGAAAGTAGTGTCCTCCCTTTTTTACGCGAGCCACTGATAACAAAACAAAACCAAAACAATGATCCGCATCATCAGTAGATGTCAATATTTTGGGACGGAATCATCATCAGACGTTTTAATGAGACGTTTTTCGACAGGGTCGTATTCGTCGTTGTCGTGGCCGATATTCATATTTCATATTTCTATCAACCTTGGGCTTGGCATCACGAAAATCGACCGTATTGTATGTATATCCATACATGTAAATTTAAAATACTTTTATTAAGATCTATTTTATATTATATCTATTGTAATAAGTTCCATACAGGATAAATTATCAACAATATAATAACAATAAAACTAATGGAAAATGGCTCAAGTTCGCGAGGGGGACGACTCTATCTACGATGCAGAAAAAATTGTGTTATGCTGTGGCTAGCTGCACGCACGCTGAGTAGATAGAAAGAAGATATTTGACGATTCTGATTCTGAATCTTCAGAATCGTCAAATATCTTCTTTCTATCTACTCAGCGTGCGCGCAGCTACCAACAGCAAACCACAATCTTTTCTGCATCGTAGATAGAGTCGTCCCCCTCGTTTTATACAACATTGCAGTAATTTCTCGTGGAAGTGCAAAGGATTTATGCGTTAATTCAGTATTCGATAAAATTAATGTGTGATCATGGTGCCAAACACACAGTTGAGCGCACCTGGGCACACTAATTGGCACTGTTTGGCACCCATGGATGGAAATTGCCATGATCTTTGAAGTTACTGTGTTTCGGGTTTAACAGAATAAAATCGGATAGGAGGTCTACGTTAGTTTTAGCTGGTGTTTATTTTGATCTCGATTTTGATGTAGCTGTAGGGTGTTGGCTTTCGATGACTGTTGCGTCTCTCGTTCCATGGTCGTCCCGGTGGTACTGGTAGTAATGGTCGTTAAAGAGCAATATCGGTTAACATAGCCCCATCACTTTTTGAATGCGCCTACCTGTTCGTCCGTTACCCTGTCCGTCTTCACTGCCAGATAGCCATAGTTGATCTTCGAATCAAATATCGATCCCCAGAAGAGCTTCTCCTTGTGGCATCGATAGTGTGAGCTCATTTTAGCAATAGTAGGAAACAGCATCAACGCATCAAAGACAAAATACATGAAAGGAAGAGGTTCTAGGGAATACAATGTTAGCCTCCCACCCCGAGTTCAGATTGACGGTGACGAAATCGAGGTGGTCGATGAGTTCGTGTATTTGGGCTCACTGGTGACCGCCGAAAATGATACCAGCAGAGACGCATTATGGCAGGGAATCGTGCCTACTTTGGACTCCGGAGGACGCTCCGGTCGAATAAAATTCGCCGCCGCACGAAGTTGACTGTCTACAAGACGCTGATTAGACCGGTGGTGCTCTACGGCCACGAGACCTGGACTATGCTCGTGGAGGACCAACGCGCCCTTGGTGTTTTCGAACGGAAGGTGTTGCGTACCATCTACGGTGGAGTGCAGATGGATGACGGAACTTGGAGGAGGCGAATGAACCACGAATTGCACCAGCTGCTGGGAGAACCATCCATCGTCCACATTGCAAAAATTGGGCAACTACGGTAGGCTGGGCACGTCGTAAGAATGACGCACGATGACCCAGTGAAAATGGTTCTAGAAAGCGACCCAACAGGAACAAGAAGAAGAGGCGCGCAGCGGGCAAGGTGGATCGACCAAGTAGAAGGCGACTTGCGGATCCTTCGCAGACTACGAGGTTAGCGAAGTGTGGCCATGGATCGAGTAGAGTGGAGCCGACTTCTTCGGACAGCAGAGGACAACAAGGCCTTAGTCTGATTGGTAAGGTAAGGTAAGTAAGGAAACAGCAGCAGCAGTTTGTCCATAGAGGTAACTCTAAGACTTGTACGCCCAGAAGAAACATGCTCAACTTTTTGGCTCAGCTCTGGTACTATCTTCGGTCCCAAGCTAATCAATGCACCCCTAGAAATATAAGAAAATCCACCAACCCCTCATTTTATCTAGAGTACTAGAATTTTGACTAGAATGGGGTACGTTAATCGATTTGCTTGGGACCAATAGACTAGTTAAGTAGAGAGCCAATTTAAAATCGTTAGTTTCCACCGGTTGCTTTGTCCCAGCGTCTGTAAATTTTGAAGACAATCAGATTCGTTTAAATGTTGCCTTCGTCAAGCGGTTGGAAGAACTTGACCGCCTTCTCAAAGGGATCCTCCATTCCGTCAAAATTCCGTGGAGCCTCTGTTAGCAGCATTGGAAACATCCAGCGGAATCTGAGCCGGAATCTTGCGAAATCTCCTCCACCGAATAGACGAGAAAATGCCGTAGAAGTTTCCTGGAACTTCCGTTGGCAGCACCAAAATTGTGCGGAAGCTTCTCCACCGTGAACGCCAGAAATTCTTCGTCAAAAGTTGTAATTTATTTATTCAAACGTAATTCTGGCGAATGAACCCTTTGATAAATTTTCTAGAACTTTCGTTAGCAGCATCTAGAATCGTCTCCGAAATCATGTAGAACCTCCTTCGCCGAGAAGGCAAGAAAAATCTGTTAAAACTTCCTGAACCTCCCGCTATCAGCATCCAAAATGACCGAAATCGTGTGGAACCTCGACCGCCGAGAGAACACGAGAAAACATTGTCGATATTTTCTGAAACTTCCGTCAGCAGCACCGGTAATCATCACGTTCGGCAAGATTTCAGTGGAGTAGACAATTCAGATGCCAGGTAGTTTCCACGCATTGTCGGCGAAAGAAGTTCTGCACCACTGCCAGTGAAGAGTTTGGATGCTGCCAACGGATTTTTCTCACGTTCTCGGCGGACGGAGTTCCACACGATTTCGGTTGCGATTTAAGATGCTGCAAATGGAAGTTCCAGTAAGTTGCTGCGGAGTTTTCTCATGTTGCAGGCGAAGGATGTATGTTTTTTTTTTGAGTATTTACAAACAACAACAAATACACTGATAAAATGCATTTAATTATTTTTTAGTTTAAGCCATTTATGTAGTAATTTGTCCATTCTTAATCTGAACACTTTTTACTTTGAACCCTGCTCATCTGACGACGTGCAATGGAAGGGAGCAAAATGCAACGATGCTAAACGGAATGCAGATTAAAAACAAAACAACACATAAGGTTACCAGAAACTCGCTTTCCACAGTAGTTGAAAACCAGAAAACCCCATACACGCCACAATCGATTTTACGCTTGTTCCGTGAAGTGATATCGGTAATAAGGGCCACAGTATAACCTGTAAAATTTTTCTACCTTGTTCAACTCTTATTCCTCTTCGATCCTTGTTTGGACCCTACCCGAGGTAATCCTTCTTGGATATCGATTTGGAAAATTCCTCTTCGATCCTTCAGATTCTTATAGTAATCTGCTTGGAAGTCGATTTGGATAAAAATTTACTGCCGCCATGGCACCTAAACGCAAAAGAAAGGGGCAAACTCTTGACCCCCCCTTCTGATGAAATTAATTTGAGTAATCAATTTGATTTGCTCACGGATGATGAGAGTGATCCATCATCCAAGAAAAATTATAGTAAACTTTCCCGGCTTAATGCCAAGAAGGAAAAGATTCCCATTATTGTGATAACCACTACCGATTTCCATGCTCTTCGCATGGAACTTTTGAATTTCGTGAAAGTTAAGTTTTCACTACAAATTGGACGTCGGGGTGAATGCCGTGTATTGGCTGAAACCTTGGACGGATTTAAATGTCTTCTCAAGTATCTTACTGAGAAGAAGCACAAATTTTTTACTTACGACACCAAAACTGAACGTGTGTTCAAGGTTGTCATGAAAGGACTGCCCAGTGGGGAATCCCTGGATCAGATCAAAGATGAACTGGCAAAATTACTTGGAGTTGTGCCACTCCAAGTAATCAAAATGAAAATGAAATCCCGTCCTGGCGATTCGCGCAACGGGATTTCTAATGATTTTTATTTAGTTCACTTCAAGTCTAGTGAACTAAACAACCTTAAGGCCTTAGAAAAAGCTAGCCTTATGCTCCATGTCCGAGTGAAGTGGGAACACTTCAGGAAGACTGGAGGAAATTTCCAAAACCTCACTCAGTGTCGTAAGTGCCAGGCATGGGGTCACGGAACTAAAAATTGCTACATGCCAGCTAAATGCATGAATTATGGTGATTCCTCTCACGCAAAGGACGACTGTCCTGTGAAGGAATAAGAAATTTAAAAGAAATTTAAATGTTCGAATTGTGATGAAAACCACAAATCCAATTTTTGGGAATGTAAGACTCGCAAAGCGATCTTACAATCTCGTTCTAACCGTCAGGTAGGAAACGCTCCACGTTTCCGACCAGGTACACATTCCTCTGCTGTTAACAACGGTCAGCGAGGAACAAATTCTACATTCGTACCCGTAGGTACAAATATCACCCCTGCTTCAAATGTTTCATCTGTACCTACTCCCCTCGCTACTAACAATGTTCAGCGAGTTAATGGAGCTACCTATGCTGCTATTGCAGCGGGTAGAAATCAAAATACTAACCAAAGTAATTCTAACGGAAATTTTGACAATTTTGACTTAGGAAGCATTACTGCCCCTAAAATGGAATTTTTACAGAAATCATTAATTGACATGATTTCTGATATGCTTAAATCTAACTCCATGTTTGATGCTATTCAAACTGGAGTAAAATTTGCAAATAATATTGTCATGACTTTAAAATTCAGTAATGGATTTTAAAGCATTACATATTGTAAATTGGAATGCTCGATCTCTTAAAGATAATGAAGACGAGCTATTTAACTTTTTGAGAGTTCATAACGTGCATATTGCCGTTATAACTGAAACGTTCCTTAAACCTGACCATAAGGTTAAGAAGGACGCAAATTACTTGATTTATAGAAATGATCGTCTTGATGGACCCTGTGGTGGCGTTGCCATCATTATTCATAGACGAATCAAACATAAAATTCTTTCTTCATTTGAAACCAAAGTTTTTGAAACTTTGGGATTTTCTGTTGAAACAAAATTTGGACAACTTACGTTTATAGCTGCCTA